CAGTGGTCATAGCTCGAATTACTATTGATAGGCACTTTGACGGAGTGATCATTTTGTACTCCTACTGACTAGTATAGGGCGCCATTCGTTGCGGGACCCACTGCCTTAACCCGCGGGGATCCCATGTGATCGCGGTTGAATTCGAACATTCCAGCTTCTCACGCATGTCAAGTGTCTGCCCTCACCCCCCACCCCCCTAGACTGGCGACACTGCCCCTGGCTCACGGATTCCCCGCTCCACATTGAAGGGTTCACTGTAGCAGGAGGCAGTGGGACCCGTAACGAATGGCGTCCTTACTAGGGGGTGGGGGCAGTCACTTGACATGCGTGAAAAGCTGGAATGTTCGAGTTTACACTGTCTCGCTCGAGAGAGCCCAGGTGAGCAGACTGCCGCGCCGCCGCGTGGCCCCCCCAACTAAGTTAGCACCGTTTAGTGTCCATATGGTATGTCTTGAAAGCTCTCAGGGATTTCAGGAAGGTGCAACTCTTTCGTCTACTGAGTCTCTTGGGCCAAATGATTTCACGGATTGACGAGGTCACATTATGGGTCTCAAATTGGGGTGGGGTACAAGCGTGGTGACAAGGAAATTGTGCTCACTTCCCAGCCATGTAGGTCAAAACTGGATGACAGTTGTACCGATGCTTAACCACATCCTATCAAACAACAGCTGTCAATGATTGTTCGACTTGGCCGTTCATGGGCCTTGAAGCTTTTTCAAATGGACCCTGTTTCGGCTTCTATTCAAAGGACTTACAGAATTTCATTCCTGCTTCTTAAGGTGTTGCTTCTATCGATCTAGTCAAACAGCATTGTTTTGTGCAGGCTTTCAGCGTCAGTTTCATGCACATGGAACGCATTACATTAAGGGAGTAGCTGGATAATCTTCATATATTTTGGTAAAGGCAAGGTCCGGCATCGAACTTATGTATTATTGTGCTTGCAAGTACCAGTGGAGATATGAAGTGTAACGCCTGCAGTGGAAAAACTGTAAGAAACCATCAACAAGGCCGGAAATAACTCCTCCTTTCCGTAGCAGCAAAGCGAAATAGCACTGATTTGTGGGCGGGCCAATGCTGCATCCTAGGGCCTTAGCGCCTCGGCCTTGTCAAATCATCCTCGAAAGTTGTGTACGTGCTTTTTGCTTGCGTACCGCTGCACTTTATCGGGAAAAGGCTTAAATGAGACATCCGTACTTTGCCTTTAAGTCAGCCAGCTTGGGTTTGCGTTTAGACTTAGATTCGATGTTTGGTGACTGTAAATTTGTCTTGTTTGTGGGTTCAATTCTGTTTTCAAAGTGCTCCACTGACACTATTTCCTTGGATTCTTCGGGCAGCAGCGGTATTTAGGTGCGTACTTTTTGTGTCAAAATTTTAACAGAAAGAACAAGAAATAACAGAATATGGGTCAGGACCAAATCTGTGGAAAAGACAGAATCGGCTTTAATGGGCTGTTATTTTTGCAGTAGTCTTCTTCGTGTCGTCTGATGAGTTATCGAGAGCCTGCCGTCTGCGAGGACTGCTTAATCTTCCAAGAATATCTCTTAGGAGTTCTTATGTGAGACTTGTGTTGTGGCATATCCTTACAATTGCCTGATTCTGAGACCTCCTGCTCTGCTAAGCAGGGAGACTTTTCGTAGATTGCATTGGATTGTAGCTTCATATTCCACACACAAATTTGCATAAAACTCAACGTTGTATCGCTAATAAATTTTTTCTTCCATTTCTTTACGAGCTTATTAAGCGAACTTTATTGCCTGCTACTTACGATTCTCCTCATCATTGAAACATTTCCGCTCAATTTTCACATGCATCTCACTAAATTGTGCTGGATACGTTTTTAACAATATCAACGCACTATCAAAGGCTTGACGATTCATCGCCAGAATACACTATGAGTAAATCATAGTAATCTAAACGAAATCATTGAAATTGTGAAACTGCAGAATAATATGCAAAAATATAACGAGTTCGGTGATCCAGCCGTGAGCCGTGCTCATTATGTCGTAACTGCGCTTCTTGGAGCTCGCCTCGTCCTATATATGTTCTACCATACAACAAGGAGGGAGGGCATTATGGGAATCAGGCGTGGGCATTTGAACATGAATTATTGAAAAGCCTTTTTTTGTTTTCATTCGATTCAGTCTGCTATCTCTCCCAAATATTACGAAAATGTTGCTATTGTAATAGAATGATGAAGCCGTAGCGCCAAATCGTGTTTCTACCATTGCTTCCATCGTCAAGGCTTCCGAAAGGTTTACGTTTTTCGTTGTCTAAAAGTATCAAAAAGTGCTGTTTCGAAATTTAATGAAAGGTTATATAGTTGCAGAACCTTACTGGTCGGTAGGGAATTGAAAGATCAATGGTAAAAGTGAAAGGGAAGGGTAAAGCACGTAAACGTCGGCCCAATGAAAGTTATGGACCAACTTGGTTGGCAGCTTAGTAAATAATCTATCATTTTGTGAAAGACTGATTTCTTTGTCGACCAAGGCAAATATCAACGAGATATACGGGTGTATATGCAGGAATACTGCACGGTCAGCGCAGATGATGATGAATTACTTCCCACTTCACCAGACCTGAATCCGTTTGCTTCCTTCCTCTCCAGCATTCTTGAGCCAGAGTATGTGCGGATCACCTTGGCCTCAGTTCCTCAAACGTACCTAGGTAGAAGGAAACCTCAGTTCCTCAAACGTACCTAGGTAAGAAGGAAACAAATGAGTTAACGCCACCGTCAACGCTTACCCAGAACGCTTGAGACTGTGCTCAAGAAAATGGAAATCGTCTAAAAGGCGAAGCAGTGCTCCATGTTCTGTTTTTCCTGGAGAATAAATCAAGAGTAATTGTTTCGTTTTTGTTGGAACTCATCATTTTTTGCGAGGCATTTATTTGGTTCCCATATCTTGCCTCATCCTGTAATATGACATGTTTCGTTTGGTTCAGTGCTGGCCGAACTTGCTGTTGAATCTGTAATATTTCTTGAGAGCTTTCACTGCTGAAAAAATCTATTACTTTCGTTCTCTTGAAGTGAAAGTCCTCAGGTGCATTATCGAATAATGTAGAAAAATTGAAGAATTAGAGTTGTTTAAATCATTCCTCCATCCTTGATGATTTCTGATTTAAACAATGTTATAGGTGGATATTGATACCTCGCCGGGGCAAGAGGTCGGCGTTGTAGCAACCGTAAAGCAGCTTACGCGGAACTCAATGCCACCACCATCGGCTGATTGGACTAACCAATTTAGTCCGAGTGGAGTGGTGAGAGTTCTTCTTGTGTACATCGAAGAAAGAGTCCCTAAGCGGTTATGTCACGTTTCAGGACGAATATCATCCATTTGTCGAAGCACTGCTGCCATATGTGAAAGATTTCTCGTATGTATGGTTCAATTTGCAAGCTGCAAAACGCCGTTATTTCAAAAGGCATGAAAAACGGATGACGTTAGAAGAAGAAACGGGTGTTAAAGATGAACTCATGGTATTTTCGTGCTTTCTAGCGTTACTGCTTTTCTTTTTCATTCTGATTAAGTTGCGTTGTTGTGTTGCTGTAAATCTTCCTGTTTAACTTGTAAGGAAGCCAGTAGCTAGTAGCTTTGCAGAACGAACGAGCCGAATTAAAGCAAAAATGGGCAGCGCGGTTGTTAGGGAAGCTCAGGAAGGATATCCAGCCTGAATATAGGAATGATTTCGTCTCTTCGGTTAGTACGTCCTGTTGTTGATTTTCACGTTCATCTTTTCATTCTCATTTTCAGGTCACTGGACAGCAGCCAGCTGTGTGCGTTTTGTCTAATCCGGACCAGAAAGGAAAAATGCGGCGTATCGATTGTTTAAGACAAGCCGATAAAGTGTGGCGGTTAGACTTGGTCATGGTCATTCTGTTCAAGGTAGTTCATTGATAAACGATAACTGGCCATATTTTCTTTGGTGGAACCTTCATCAATGTGGTACAGATAGAAAAAGTTGCTGTACTTGCTCATAGTGGTCTTTTAGGCAGCTATCAGCGGGAACTAAATACTTTGTTTTTGGCGTCGTTGCTCTAACAGCTGAGTTTTTAGGGAATTCCATTGGAAAGTACGGATAGCGAACGACTTGAAAAATGCGCCGAATGTGTTTTCCCTGCCGTCTGTGTCAACCCATACCACATTTCTATAGCTGTTCGTGAACTGGACCTATTTCTTGCAAACTTCATTCGTACCGGCAACCCAGATGAAAAAGATGGGCACGACGAGAAAATGGAAGACAAGCAGAAAGGTTAATGCCGATTTCCATTTTCAAAGTATATTCAAACTCTTGGTGGTACATCTTTCGGCCTCAAGCCATTAGGGTGCGGCAGCAATGCGTCTTTAACTGTGAGAATCAGTCGGTGCGGCGAATCTAGCAGAATAACTTTTCTCTTCTCTCTTTCCTGCGTTGTGGTGCGTTTGCTCATCGCTCTTCTGCTTGAGTGAGACTGGCAATGGCAAACGGTTACCGTAGATAGGCACATCTGAAGGTAGGTGCGCATTTACTCCACTGTGCTTGTACACAATCCTGTGAACACGGTGGAAGTTATGCGCCCAAATCGAATCAGACCGCGTCAACAGTTGAGGCATCGCGTAATTTCAAGATGTATTGATCAGTTTGTGGTAGTATGAAAAATTTTCTGTAATTCAGTCTGTCGGACGTGAGATGGGTTCTCCAGATAGATGATGGGCTTTCAAGTGGCAGTTGCCTATGATCTGAATCTAAACTCTTGCCCTTTTCAGTACGGTGTTTCTTAAAGTAATCAAAATTCATTCATGTTGAGCAGAGAGCACTGTGCGTTTTTGCCGGAGAGCCTTATGAATTTTCCTCTATTTTCTCCATAATTTTAATGTTACTGAAAGATCGCAATTTGTTGCATATTTGCCTTAAGAACGCGTATATTTGTTTGAGGTATGCTATACGCCGCATGGAGCGCAAAAAAAAACTATCGATTATCGCCGAAGCTACAAGTGGGAGCTCAAAACCATAATACCGACTGAAAATTGCTCGGGCGAGTCTTATGAGTGTGAGCATTACAGTGGAAAAGACTCAAGTTAACAAAATGAGTCGATTGAATCGTTATTGATCGAATTGCTGTCCTTGTGTTCCAAGGTTTTGTAACTTTAACAAAAAGGTTAAAAAACGCCGAGAAAAGTTCGTGGTTCACTCTCACTCTCACACAAAAAAAAAGCCGGTTCGCGACGAAGTAGCGACAAAAAAAAGCGGTTCAGGGTAACCGAAGTAAGAAGTCCTTGTATTTGTGGGTCGTAATCGCCTAATAGACGTCTTAATTTTTCCTATCAATGACTTGTTATTTCCACATTTCCTTATTGTACATCATTTTTGCAATTTTCCGTATTTTTACTAATGCTTTTTTGTAGATGTCCTAATGGGAGATATGAGTCCTGAAGGAATCTGGGGTACTGGAGTCTTTTCGGCATACGAATTGAAGTCACTTACAAAACGTGAGTTATCAGCTTATAGCAAATTTCCATTGAGCAAATACTTTCTTACCATAGTGGTTAGTATGAAATTACACTCATCAGTTTTCCAATGCCAGTTCAGTATTTTCACAAAATGAGAGATCGAAAATTCTGGCTGTTTTTTTTTCAAATGCGTATTTTTCTGTTTAAGCCTCAATCGTCACTTGCTCCACTTTGAATGGTCGCACAGTTGCACCTCCTATATTGCGAAAGAATGATCGAACTTCATGGATTTCTGCGCTTTCATCGAACAATTCGCCCTTAGATAGTAGTCTCCCATCTTCTCCACCTCCCAGTGCAATGGCAGCTATTAAAGCCCTCGCAGAGTCTGAGTGTAAGTTATTGTGATAGTTTTCGGAAACTCGAGAATAAAAACGAATTTACAGGTCACTTAGCATCTGCAACAACATCGGGTGGGCCATTACGGCCTCCGCCTTCTATTCCCCAAGTTGGCGCTGTTGTCACAGTTGGTGTGAATTCCGAGTCGAAACACTCCGTATTAGGCTTTGGTGGAGGTGATAATGAGGTAGTTAATCACCTACATTGAGTACTTCAAAACTTTGCAAAACGATGCCTGGTTTGCGAAACTCTGCAATACTGCGCTTTTCGCTCAGGAGGATTCGAATGAAAAACGAAGTCGGCATGCTTCACGTGACTCCGCTGCTAGTAGCACGAATGAGGAGGTTAGGCGAATTGTGGAGCGAGCCGGAGATGGGTGGAATGGTGGACTGATTGGTGACGATTTGGTGACTACTGACACCACTTCACGGACGGAATTTCTTGAGTTCGTTATCAGTAATATGAGGTTTTATTTGCTTGTGGTCAGTCGTCCGAGCGTCTTCTTCACGCTTCTAATTACTCACAGATTCAATCATATTTTCAGAAAAGGACAGCGCATAGTGCTCCAACGAGATGGTCACCGTTTTGTAAAGGTTGTCCAATCTGGGTAGGTGATTACCTGTGAATGTTTTTTGGCCTGAAAATGTTCAAATCCCATTTTGTTGGTTGAACCA